GAGAAGGGGCAGGGTAAGGGTTGGATAATATCGCTATAACGGTAGCAACTCACAAAAACGATTGTCTGCAATCTTTGTGGGATTCAGGTATTATCGAACAAAGAACAGATTCAAGAAGATAATAACACTCAATGTAACGTAAAACTTTGAATAAGAATACTATGAGTTAATCAGACCTTCTAATCCCCCAGATAGTTTTTGGATCTTCATAAAATTTAAAAAAAGATGTAAGAGTGTATAACTTCCAAATTATAAATGATCAAAACAACACACGAAGTAGCCTGTTCTTATGTTGATGATATGTGTTCCAATGAGCTCAAAGGAACGGAAAATCGAAACCTATCACAAGCCTTACCGTGAAAGCATGTGCCGAGGTCCCATCGACGGGGAGGCTTTTCATACTCAGAACTCCTAACCTCGTCCTCCCATTATAAGATTCTTTCGGAAACTGAGATGTGGATGGTTGGTAGGTGCTCTGGTGTTGTTCGCTCCTTCTTTTCCATCAAACATCTATCGTCTTAATCTCTCCTCCTTCTTTTTGCCTTTGTTACTCTCATGAAACACTTCTAATCTTCGGTACTTATAATTATGACCTAAGTGTGTTGCAAGTGCCATAAACCTGTGATAAAAGAGACGGAATATCTGAAAATGGCCTCACCTGAGAGTTGAGCACAAAAACCGTGAACTTCTCGTACTCTGCTGCCCCGGCCCGGCCCGCTGGCAGACGATAGATGGTGACGAACAACTGTACCCCGAACAGCGGGATCAGAACAAACGTGGCTTTGAGTGCTCGTCTGAAATGTAGAAACAGCCTTTGTTGGACAGTTCGAATTTTAAAAAAGATTAATGAGTGAGTGGAACGACGTACATTCTGCATAAACTGGCCCATCGCGGGACACTCCAATACATTGTTTTCATAGAAGCTTCAGTCAGCTTACTGAATTCTTCTTCTTCTTCTTCTTCTTCTTCTTCTTCTTCTTCTTCTTCTTCTTCTTCTTCTTCTTCTTCTTCTTCTTCTTCTTCTTCTTCTTCTT